TGGTCGCAGCACCGGTTAAACGCACGTTCATTGGGGATTCAAAAGGCTTGATTAATTGAAACTTTGGGTGCAATAATCATCGGCTTGATTGAGGGGAATTCCTTTTCTCGCAGTCAACATACTCTCCTACATTAATCGCTGATGAATATTTTCACTGCCTCAATATCAGAACTGAATAAATAACTGAATAAACATTTTTCTCATTTAATTCATTATGTCCTCCATTCCACTGGAATTCCCCCCGAATTCACCGAACAATTGCGTCGAATTTCCACGTGCCACTGGATTTTATGAAAGGGAAAATGTAAATTTGATTTTACCATTTACACTGGAGCACGAAGATCGAATTAAATATTGTATCGAGTGTATTCATGGGGAATTGACTTGCCTCGTAATTTTATTATGTCTCAGGGAATTCAAAATTTCCCATTTTCGTGCAGGGCAAACATTAATGTAACGTTTGATGCCATCGGGCTAATGGAAAATCTATGTCCACCCTCTGAGTACACATTCATGCCTCCCGTACTCTTTTGAGTAGTGAAATGTGTTCAGAAGCTTTTTGTCGTTTTTCTTTTCTTCCAGATGACGAATTCGGTGAGAAGACTGTGTCGATTCTCCTGGATGGGGAGGAATCTGAGATGATCTTCATCGATCATCCTCACATCGAAATGAGTGTACGTATTTCAACAGCTAGTTCTACTTGTACCTCAATTGTGATGCCTCGAGAAATATTCTCTCTAGATAAGGTCAACCTGTTATTATTAATGATAACTAAATAGAGAGGGAGTGAAATCGTTGCTTTCGCCGTGAACTTCTTAGATTTATATTTCCTCCCTTTTTTGCCAACGCTTGAGAAGAGATGAGGGCAATTTTCTTCGTAATTGAAAGATGAGAGTAGCATGGAATGAAAAATCTGGTGATTCTCAGGGGTTCGGCTCATTTTAAATGAGAAAGTACCGGAGCATTTCCAACTGCAGATGCGTGTCTTCAAATTTATTTGATACCTTAACTAGCCACTAATCAAAATAAAGTCAGAGCCAATTAGGTGAGGGTGGAGACCAGATCATGCATGATCTTTGTGGAGTTCACCAGGTACCAATCAGCAGCTTCCCCGTCGTCAATCCTGGGTAACTTCCAGTGTTCTGAATTGAAGAAGATTTATCTCTTTTTTTTTTAATATTCCGGCCCTTTCTGCCCTGTTCAGCCTAATTGGCCCTATCTCGCTCTATGCATGCGGCTGTAGATCCTACACTGTACCGCATTCACTCTCCTATAGAACATAGGAGTGACATGGGAAACCACAGGAAAAACCACGTCGGTACAGACGGTTGCTCTATTACCAGCCTCTCGCTCATCGGTGCCCGTTGAAAAATTTGATTCAACGGGCAATCAAACTCACAACTTTCAGAACACTAGGCTCGCACCTAGCCACTGAGCTACCGACTTTTAACTTTAACAAGAGTTTATTGACAATATATACATATTATACAGAGTATGTACAAGTAGTAATACTTAGAAGCTAGATCTCCAGCCCTTGGCTCTATACCTAATATAATGAGGCCTAAAGTAAGGTATTACCTAATTTTAATTGGGGATGAGTGCAGAAATTTAATGAATAGGGAAAATAATGAATTTCGAGAAAACCCTAAAGCTACCGACGTCAGTATAAAAAAAAATTCATCTGATTATAAATTTATAAATTCATACCTCCAGAAGAGAGGAGGAGTGAGAAGTCCATCTCTCATGGTCACATGAGCCATTGTATTTCTGGGAAGGGTGGTGTCGTTGATAATAATTAAATCTTTATTTATAATTGTTTTAGCTGGAAAATTCACTCTCGACTTACGAACCGCACGCTTGCGTCGTCGTGTACTCGATAGTATCAAGAGCAAGTTTTCAAGTTGCTGAAGAGATGCTCAATTATCTGTGGAAGGAGCACTTCACGCAAGAGAGGTCTGTCATTGTTGTTGGAAACAAGTCTGACCTGGCGAGAAGCCGCACCATTACCGCTAATGGTAGGTTGATCAGAGTTTCATTATTATATCTAGCATTTTATTCGAGTTTAAAGACAATGAGACAATGACAATATTTAAGTCTTTTCTGCAAGTCCTTGAGGTCCCTCGAGACATTATCTGAATTCAATTCTAAAATAATACAAATGAAATTCATTTCTCTGTCTACTCGAATTTATTTCTTGTGGTTTTTTTTTCCCTCCGACTCATCTCAAGAAAAATCTCGCGCAATTACCGCGGGCAAGTCATCTAGGGGAACAACTGTGCAATTAAAAATTTTCTGTTAAAGAGGGAAAGCAATTAGCTACATCGAGAGAGTGCAAGTTCATAGAGACATCCAGTGGAATACAGCACAACGTTGATGAGCTGCTGGTGGGTGTTCTCAAGCAAATTCGTCTTCGTGAAATGCGAGACAAAAAATT